TTTTTTTTTTTTTTTTTTGGTGGGGGAATTTTTTTTTTGTTTAAAGTTTTTTCTTTTTTTTTTTTTTTTTTTTTTTTTTTTTTTTTTTTTTTTTTTTTTTTTTTATTTGCTAGATTTTCTTTTTACTTGTTAGATTTTATTAAGTATTATATTAATCATTCATAATTAATTTCTTTTTTGTAATTTAGGTTTCATTGTTCTCATTGCTGGAACTTTCATCTTTAATGATGTAATGAGTCCGCCACCTTGTTTCACTGTTCCACCAAAAGAGTCTTTAGAAAATCAACCCTTGTTGCCTGAAGATCACGAACATCTTTAATTGATTTTTTTTTTTTTTTTGTATATAATTTGTTTTTTTTTTTATAGAAAAATGTACTGTAATGGTAAATTTTTGATATAAAAACGCACTAAGTATAAAAAATATTTTTTTAATAAATTATTATTAATTCTATAGAAAAAAATGGGTTTACTAAATCACACCAGGCTATATCTCAAAAACGTACTAGCTAACGCACGTTAGGGGTACTAAGCAAAAATGTTCAGCACCCCAAAAACTTCGAACAAAAATTTAGACCTATATCTTCACTATAGTTTAGGTTCCCTAACCCTGAATTTTACTACGTAACAAAAATATACGTGGTTAGTAAAATTAGGATAATTTTATAGCTGCCATGGGGCGCGGAGTAACTGATATTAACTCCGTTGTACGTAAATAAAAAAGGAAACTCTGTCCGAAATCGTTTCACGGATTTTTTTTATAGCATATACACTCATCTATCTATCTACTAGAATTGTCTATTGCTTTAAAGCCTTACGAAAAGAAAAATGGAAGATTTAAGCTCTGCTGGTAAAGCGGGATGTGATATTGCTGCAAATATTGCCGAAACAATACCTCTTGTTAGTGTTATCGCGATAATATTTCGAGAAATAATTGTTTTAGCTGAAAAAGCAGGGCACAATAAAAGAGTTTGCAGAAGGTTGGCTGAGCGTGTACGTGTAGCAAATCAGACACTCAATCAACTTACTCTGAAAGATGAAAATGATTTGGCTTTAAAAAATTATGTTCAAGCGATAACGCATTGTAAAGAGTTTATTGAAAAGATTAGTCATTCCGGGGCATTCATGAAATTAGTTACCGCTCATGAAGTAATATTGTGAATTCGTTTTAGATTATAATTTAATTTGACCATTATTGTACTAATTTTAACTTCTCGCTATCTGTTCCTAGATCGAAAGTGCGTATCAGAATGCCACTGAAGAATTAGATGCCGCAATTATCCAATTAGGATTAAACGTATGCATCAGGACAAATAAAGACATTGAAGATGATCGTAAGTTATTCCTTTCAGAAATAAAAACTTCGTTTCAAGCCATTGAAGAAGTCACAAAAGATTTGTATGACGTTGGAATGGACATTCAACAAAAACTTAGTGTATTTGAAGCCAAGTTAGATACAATTCATACGGCAGTTGATAATGTGAGCAAAGGTGTTATAGTAAACAATCAAACTTTGGAAAAATCTTTAGAACAATCCAAAATACCTAGTAATCAAATCACAGATTATGATGAGGAAGAGGTGAAGCGTGGTCATGTAATGAAAAAAAAATATATCATGCAAGCAGTTGCTCAAAAGGAGATCGGACATATTTATTCTTTACAAAAATCCATAGATATCATTGAAAGAGAGGTTGCTATCCTCACAGAACTAAGAAATTGTCGAAATATTATAACATTGTAAGTCATGCGATTTCTTTTTAAAAAAGCAAAGATTTTTTTCTAATAATTTACGAATTGTATACTGGCAGTTATGGTACAATGCAGCGTGGTGGTAAACTATACATTATTTCAGAATGGGCAGAAATGGGTGATCTTTACACATACCTACAAAAGCATAATGTGACATGGAAGTTCAAACTTAAAATTGCTTCTGAAATAGCTGGTGGCTTAGTTTTTTGTCATGTTTGTGACATATTGCATCATGATATAAGAAGGTTCGATTTTATAAAAGATTTTTAGATTGTTTCATAGTATTCACCAAGTATTTACTGAATATTTACCGAATATTTAATAATATTCTGTTTAACCTTCAGCCATAATATACTATTAACAAGTGATCTAACAGCGAAGATCAGTAATTTTAGTTCTAGTCGTAAAGAAAGTGATGTAACTACAAAGGTCAAAGACATCACACTTAGATACAGGTATCTTATTGATAAATATTCATTTATATTTATGTCCTTAGATGCTTATCAGTTATATATTTCAGATGGCTCGCTCCTGAAAAACTTGAAAATTATAAAGATAATGAATATACTAAACAATGTGATATCTACAGGTATAGTTTTCTTTTCATGATTTAAGAACCTTATTTTAATTCTAGAATTTTTACTTACTTTATTACCATATCTAAACAAATAATAGTTTTGCTATTGTGCTTTGGGAACTTGCCGCTCAAGAAGTACCATTTGCCAATGTTACAGTTGTCACGGACTTGATTACAAAGATAACGAGCGGAGAACGCCCACCACCGATAAATGACGCACCTCCTTTCTTTCCTGCGTATGAAAAAATCATGCAGCAAGGATGGCAACAACGTCCAATAAAGCGACCAACTGCAGATCTCATGTTTAAAGACCTAAACAATCTTTATAAATCTATAAGGTCTCAATCAGGGTCAGGAGATTTTGAACCACCTTCATCTTCATTCCTACGAAGTGATTCATTTGACTCTCATCAGAACGGTAATTCTCAAAAGGATTTTAATAATATAGAAGAAGGAATACGACAAATTGAGTTAAAGTGATTTCTTCATTTTTGAGAATGGTTATATCCTATTTATCAAATAGCCAACTTTATTTAGAATTTGTATTTTTAAAATTATACTTGTCACCCAAATCCCAAACTATTATAGCTTGGGTTTGTCTACGCCAAATCTCAAACTCTGGCCGAACTAATCTCTCAAAAACTTTATTAATAATTACCTAAACAAACAAAATATATTCTTATATAAAATATATTCGCAAAATTTCAAATCCATTTAATTTTTTATAAATAGCTTTTTTTGAGGTTTGGGATTTGCTGGCAAGTATATTTAAAATTATCATTTAAAGTTTATATAAATATGTGTTTTTTTTTATTTATTTATTTATTATGTACAGAATTGGTGAAAAAATTGAACAATTTTAATTTTGATTTTTGATTTTTGTTATTAATAAAAAAAATTAAATTATATGATCAACTCTCATTACAAAAATTTTTAGAGTTCATTATAGCAAAAATACCGTTCCTGATGGATCGTTGTTAATAGAGTTCTCCAAACTATAATAAAACAAATATGAACCACTCAAGTTTTTTTTTTTTTAAGGTGCCCTTCGGGACCGAGCTTTATTGATGTTTTTCGTTGACCACATGGGTCTACATTTTAGTATTATAACGAGGGTACAATCTAGTCACCTATTTAAGTACCTTTGTTGCTTAGTTCACCTGCCTCACATGGTCTTTTTCCTAGGTTTAGTTTTACAGAGTTTTGTCAAAGATTTAAGCTACCTCTCTACTTGGAATTTTAGGTGGGTTTTAATTTTTTCAGTCTTCTAGATTTCTGTGCTTGATGGTCTTATTATTAGTTTGCATTCTTTTGTGTTTCATATAATGTTATACAAATACTTTAAGCTCTTAGTTTTACTAATGTGACTAAAGTTACAGGTGTTTTAACTTAATTGATTAATAAAGAACTGTATACTACAATACTGTAAAAAAAATTTTATTGAATTTAAATAGATAGTTGTTAAGAAATCTTTGCTTGAAGTTTAGAAAAAAATTTATCTAATTTTTAGTTCTTTTTCTAATTTTTTAAACTTCTAGTAAAAATATTTTAATAACTAAACTAAATTTAATAAATTTTTTTATTTGATTTTGCAAAAATACAGAATTATAATAAAAAATTTTTATCAAATTTGGTCAAATAGTTATTAAGAAACCTTTGTTAGAAGTTTAGAAATTTTTAAAAATTTTAGATAATTACTAAATTTGATTAGTTATATAAAATTTTTCAAGTTAATAATGCTAAGACAGTTGTAAAAAATATTTACTTATTAAAGTTAAAGATAGAGAAAATTTTTAAAACATGTTTTTTATAAAGATTATAATTGACTAATTTATATTATCGCTGTTTTTGAAATAGTTGAAAATGACAAATAATTATTTTTTTTAGCATATACTCGTATATTTATACACTTGTATACTTGATTACCTTAACACGTTAATTGAATAATTACACATTGATATTCAATCAACATGCTAAGGTAATCAACATGTACATCTATGTGCCCACTGACCAATTTGAAAATCACACTTTTTATTTAATCAGTATTCATCACATTGAATTTATATAAATGATTTGTGTGTAATGTTAAAATTAAAAACATTAATTGTTTTTTTAAAAAATTACTTTTATTTTGAAATTTTGTTTATAAAACTAACTACTTTATTCTAACAAAAAAAATTCCTTGTGAAATTTTAGTATATTTTTTTCTAAAGCTCTATTCTTACTTTAACACTAACTCTAACACTAATTAATAGTATTTTTTTTAAAAAACATAAATACGTATTAAAATAATATAAACAATAACAATTATTTCTATTTTAAATAATGAGTATGTAGATATATCTGGTAATTGATTATAAATGTATAAATATACAAATGTATGCTAAAAAAAAATAATTTGTCATTTTCAACTATTTGGAAAACAGTGATAATTAATTAATCAATAAATTAATATTTTAATTTTTATTTTTTTTGATTTTTTTTATTTCTATAATTCTACTTTATTTTTTTAATTAGTAACAATTTATAGCAAGATTTTGATTAGCTAAATCTACATTATCTATACTATTAACTACTATATATCTATACAATAAAAATTATCTTAGTCTGTTTTATTATCACAACATAATTACAAGATTAAGCATTAAAGTATAATTTAAAAAGGGGATTATTTTTATACCCCCAGATTTATTATTCATACCCCTTGCAGATTTAACTTTTTTTTTAAACTTTGAGCAAAGATATCTCAGTGACTACCAAGCCAAACTCAATAATTTTTTTTTATTTGAATTTTATAGATTCATAGAATTCAAACAAAAAAAGTTTACTAAATTTGGCCCAGTAGTTGCTGAGATATTTTCACTCAAAGTTTGAAAAAAATCAAAACATCTATTAAAACAAATTATACAAAATTTTCTTTAAACTTTAAGTGAAGATATCTCAGCAATTACTAAGTCAAATTTGATGAATTTTTTTTTTGTTTGAATGCTATGAATCTATAGAATTCAAATAAAAAAAAAATTATTGAAATTGACTTGGTAGTTGTAAAGATATTTTCACTCAAAGTTTTAAAAAAAATTTAAAATATCTTATCAAAACAGAAGCTGTGCCAAAATTTTTTCTAAACTTTGAGCGAAAATATCTCGACAACCACAAAGCCAAATTTGATAAACTTTTTTTGTTTAAATTCTATGATTTCATAGAATTTAAACAAAAAAAAGTTCATCAAATTTAACTTGGTGGTTGGTTGTCGAGATATTTTCACTCAAAGTTTAGAAAAAATTTTGGTGCAGCTTCTGTTTTGATAAGATGTTTTGAATTTTTTTTAAAACTTTGAGCGAAGGTATCTCAACAACTACCAAGTCAATTTCAATAATTTTTTTTTATTTGAATTCTATAGGTTCATAGCATTCAAACAAAAAAAAGTTCATCAAATTTGACTTAGTAGTTGCTGAGATATCTTTACTCAAAGTTTAAAGAAAATTTTGTATAATTTGTTTTGATAGATGTTTTGATTTTTTTCAAACTTTGAGTGAAGATATCTTAGCAACTACTGGGCCAAATTCAGTAAACTTTTTTTTGTTTAAATCTTATACATATATAGAATTCAAATAAAAAAAAATTTATTAAGTTTAGCTTGGTAGTTACTGAGATATCTTCGCTCAAATTTAAAAAAAATTTAAATCTGCAAAGGGTATAAAAAATAATCTCCTATTAGGATATATAAAATATATTCTTGAGTAGAGGCCAAGTTCGATGTAGTATCCTGCAGCATATTCTTGTGCTAGTGCTTGTCTTTGAGTAAAATTAAGTGATCTATACTTTTTCAGCTTCTATAGATTTCAGTATAAACACCATAACCTTTTGAGGTAATCAATTAGATATTATTCATCTCAAAGTAGACATATATTCCTGTACGTGACTTTTCTTTTTCAATAGTGATTGTTGTTATTGATCCTTCGATAGGAATATGCTGTTTTTCCCACTTTTTGGTGAAAATTTTGTAAAGAACAAAGAGTTAGGCTTTGATAGAAGGTTTTAGTTTGCAGATATCCTTAAACTTCAGTAAAGAGTGTGTTGAAAACTTACTTATTGTTTTTCTTAGAACTATCTTTAACTTTGTCAGCAGAAGCAGAGCTTCTATTAAAATTTTCTGTATAAGGACAACATCTTCTCGTTAGTTTTTTGTATATGAACACTTTTAACTTACATACTGAATATACAGAAAAGTTTAGAAGAAAGAAGAAAACCTTAACCTCTGTAAAAACTGTTATTTGTAGTTGTCTCTTCTGCTTTTCTTCAACAAGTTTCTTTTTTCGTTAGCTATAAGTTTGATATGAATGATTAAGAATTTCTTTTTTTTCTTATTTTCTTTGATTATTATTATATTTTATTTATATATTATAGTTAGTTATTATTTCTTATTAGTATTTAACATATATTATATTTTTAATATATTTTTTTATATTTTTCATTATTTTATTATAG